GTTCAATAGATACCATTTCGCAATATATTTCCTTTCAAACATATTTCTGATCTCAGTCCTTATGTCCTCTACTATGGGTTTGTTATTTAACTTATATCTGATTCCTATTGCTGTGTTGTCCATCCTTTATTCTCTTCTCCATTCCAGTTGTGTTTTGTTTTCTTTGCTTCTGTATTTACCTCTTCGGTGTGTGTGTCACTTCTTCTTTTCTTGTGTGTCAGCTCTACTGTCAACTCTTTCTGTTTGATGGTTTGTTTTATTCTTTCTGCTATTTTATTATATTTCTTTTTGCCCTTGATATATCTGATAGTCTTTATTGCTATTTTGTTATCTGTAATGATTCTTTTCATACCTTTATACATAATGCATGTCAGTACGACTATTATTGCAATTAGTTCTGCTCTTAGTGCTGTTGATCTTCCTTTTAGTTTTATGCCTATGCACTTTGTTTTCTCTTGTATACGTATATTGATAACTTTGATTGCTATAGTATGATTACTGTTTGCAGTACCTGCATCTGTATATGCTTCTGTTTCTGTCCATATAGCTATCTGTTTTCTGAATTTGCTGACGGTATTTTTGATGCTGGGGTTTGTAAACAGACTTTTTGCTTGGAATTCTTCCAATAGAGCAATCACTACTTCTGTTTTAAGGTCTTTGTCACTGGTTTTTCTTGTTCTTCTTATCATTTTGATACTTGTTGATAATATTAATATCTTTAGTTCACTTATTGTATTATTAGGATCTCTTGTACTTTGTTTTGTTCTTGCTACTTATATACTTATACAGCTTGTGTTCTTTGCGTGTATTATACATACATTCCCTCTTTTGTCAGCATATGTATTCTTTACACAGCCTTCACATAGTTCTATTAGTGATGCCTATGGCTGCTGTATATAGTGTTTGAGTGTCGTGGTGTCTTGTTTTCTCTTCCTTAGTTTCTCTATTGTTTGCTCTGTTTTACTGTCGACCAGCATCCAGTCTCTGTCTTGATTTTTAAGTTCCTTTGATATAAGCTTATATGTTTCGTGCCATGCTCTGAATGTGTTTGTTCTGTTATCAGGTGTCTTGAGCATTCTTCTTTGCATGTCTGTTGGGTCTATTAATTTCTTTTTTATTTTCTTATAGAATATTGGGATGCGACCTCCCGCTTTCATATTGAGTGACTTCATGATGCTGATCCATATATTGCATTTGATTATATCTATGTTGAGGAGTTGTTCTATCCATTTTAGTTTTTGATTTCTGAGTTTCTCTCTGTTCCTGCCGAAACATTATCTTCCTATTGTTTCTTCTATAGTTGTCAGCTTGTGTGTGCCTTTATATGTGCTTTCCTTTCTTGTTTCCATTGTAATTCTGATGTTGTATGTTTGGCTGTTTCTCAGTGTAAAGTTTTGGTTGTTTCTGAAAAACTTCAGACATGTGTCTGTTACTGATGTTGGTATCCATGCTCTCTATTGGATATTCCTTATATTGGCTTTAATAATGTATGAGACTATATTGTGATGATATGTCTGTTGCGTATTTCTGAAGTTGTCTAGTTTGTAAATCAAATATGTTGTATCCTAGGCAGCTATGAAAGAGAGCATTAGGAACTGTTGTTGCAAAATCTAGTTTGTGTTTTGCTATATGTCTTATTTTTCAGTTTAATTTGTCAACTTCCCTGTTTAAGAGTACCATGTCATTGAAAAGATACTTCAGTTTTGGGAACAGCATGTGATTCAGTATATATACTATCTGTTTGTCTGTTATTTGCTTCCATCTAAGTTTGTTGAGAATTTGCATCAACCATTCTTTCAATAACTGCTTTTGGAAGCTTTTGCCATCTTTCTTTTGTATCCAAATCCCCAAATACCTCATAGGATCATCTGTATGCTTGATTTATACTTCACTGAGATTGATTGTAGATAAGTTGTCTTGTCCAAACATTATCATATGTGTTTTCTGAGGATTCGCTTAGATGTCGATCAGATTGTAAAATGACTCTGCTGTTTTGCATTTTCTCTCTGTTGTTTGCCATCCATATGGTATCATCCATATATGCAGTAACTGATATGTTGGTTCTTTCCATGTATATATATGGATTGTTTTGTGTTGTCTTCTTTGTGATATATGTGTAGCCCTTCATTCTGGATATTCTGGTGATAAAGAGATCATAATAAATTCTCCAAAGGATTGGGGAAATTATATCTCCTTGATTAATTCCTTCTAGAATTTCGTAAGGATCCATGTTTCCAACTGTCATAATGACTATATTTCTTCAGTCATTGAAATTCTCACTTATCAAGTCAATATACGTGGTTGATATCTTGAGTCTCTTTAGCGCAGACTTGAGCATATTGATGTTGACATTGTCGTACGCTTTGGACATGTCTTGGAAGACTATCTAGCATTTTTTGTTATGAAGTTTGGCATTCTCAATTACACTATTAACCATTTTAATTAGTTCTCTTATACTTAACTTGAGTAATGCTACCCAATTGTGTTCTAATAAGATCGGATGGGCTGTTAAAACTCTTAATAGTCTTAGTGTCAATATTTTTGTGAATATCTTTTTTATGGATCCTAACAATGTGATTGGTCTGATTTTTGATAAATCATTTTTCCAGTCTGATGTCTTGGAAATTGAATATATAGTGCCATATTTCTACTCTGTAGACATCCTTTTGATCACTATTACACTGTTGCATATCTTCCTGATTATCTCTGTTGCTTGTACTTCTAGGTTTTTTAGAGCTTTATACAATATTTGTGATGGTCCAGGCATGAATTTATTGTTCGCATTTCTTATTACTTCTGTAAGTTCCTCAATGTTGATCTTGGATATTAGGTCCTTGTACCATTCTATCTGGACATATCTTATCAGCACATATTTGTGTATCCATTCATCTGTGATTATGTTGTGTGACCCTGCTTTTGTCCAGTTGGCAAAATGCTCTCTGACTGTTTGCTTGATTTTTCTTTCGTCCAGTATGACTTCTGGTTCCTCTCCTTGTATAATGATTTTATCGAATACAATTTGTATATATTTGTTATTCAAGATGCTGTTTATTATTCTTTTTTTATCTGTCTCCATCCAGTTCACTCTTATCTTGAGAGCTGTGCTTATCGCTTTCTTTTTGGATTCTGCTAGCAGTGTTTTGCATGCGTCTTGCATAGTTTTCCTTGTATTTTTAACTTCTGTGAGCCATTCAGTCATGTGGAGTGGTGTTTATGTTGTGGGCTAACCGATTTGCTCACTGTAAACATTTGTGAGTTTCTGGATTCTTTGCAGTATATGCATCTTCATGTTATCTTCAATGAAATCCTTGGCTCCCTATATAATTTGTAATATACTTATCAAGCTAATTGCATTTGCTGTATTGATTGTTATTTCTTTGTTTCTGCTATAGCATTTATGTTTTTTAACTTTCCTAATGTGTTTACTGATTGCCATAAGAATGATATCTCTTAGTTTGTTCCACTGGGTGTTAATGTCTATCTGTATATCCTTTCCCCAGATGTTAGCCGCCTCTGTGCATTTTTTGTCAATCTCTTTTATTCATGCCTTCTACTTGTGTAATTTGGTTGCAGCCCAGTTATATCTTGTGTTTAGTAGTCTTCTTTTGTTTGATTGTTTGTTTGTATGCAACTCGGGAAAAATAATATATGTTGTGGCAATCTTGTGGTCTGTGTTATATATTTGCTTAGGTAGGAAGAGAATGTCTGCGGCTGTTATTATGCTGCTGCCTTTGTTTGTGGTTCATATCTGATCTATTCTACTTTTGCTAACATGTCGAGTTCTCACATGTGTATTCTTTTCTAAGCGAGTGTACATTTCTAAACATATTTGCCATTTTTACTGTTGTTAAATTGTTAATTAATAAACTGTTGCTGTGTCATTTATCTTTCTTATCTTTCTTATTAGATGAAAATCTGTCTAGCGAAGGTCTGTGAACATTATTTAGGTCTCCCCAAAATAACTTCCCAGTTGTCTTTGTTTGCTTTGTCTAGCCATTTGTTTATTTCAATTTCAAGTTTTGCTTTTTTTGACAGGACTGTATATGAGTATATACTGTTGGCCTCAACAGCAAGTCTGTCGCTAATCTGGATCAAGACTTATGTAATGTTAGGTGAGTAGGTCTATGTCGCTAACGATATCAAAGATATATATGGTAATAATTATTCTAATCTTCCCTTACATTTAGCTAGTCTCCTCCTCTAATCCTTTCCCTATTGAACTACAAGGCTCTGGATTCTTCTTAAGGTAACTAAAGACAAATAAGATAAGTTTATTAATTATTGTTGCACAGGTACAAACACTCGGCTTTTCAGTGAATAGTTTTTTATTAATTTGTTCTCTTTTTCTTTTATATTTGGATATTATTGTTATTTATATGACTGTGACATGTCTTTAAATCTATCGTCACGTTATGCAGAATTACTAAACTTTGGCAAGCTTTGCATCTATTGATCATATATGATTGATACATGATCAATGTCTTATACGGTACTGTGCTGGGCCTCACATGTCGCATCATGCCTCCTACTATAATTTTTATGTTAACAATACCGATTATTCTGAGGTATTTCTTCCTGCGAAATGCTAGGTCGAGGCAAATTGCTCTTCCTGTAATAGTCTGTTTTCGTATAATTCTTTTCAAAATGTGCGTTTTGATATTTATTCTGATTCCTTTCCCTATATATTATATGCCAGATGTCCAATATGTTGTGTATAGATTATTTTCCAGTATTTTTCATTTTGGACTTTGCAGTTTATTTCTGTGGTGATGACTACATCCCAATCGTAAATGTGCCATTGTGTGAACCAGATATCTCTTTTGCTGTTGTTGTTGATCCCTCTTATGTTAATTGTGGCAACTTTGAGTAATAATGAATCGGTGACATATTGCGAGTTTATGTTTGATCGATTTGCTTTGCTGTTTGATCTTTCATTCTTTGTGATCCGTTTTTATGTTTATACTCTTCTGAGACTTGTTTGCTTATGCTTGGTTTGCTACTCATTGTTGAAAACTAGTTGAGTTAGGGAGATTGTTTTGGTCTGAAAGATTATTACTGAAGAGTTCAATGAACTGTGTCATCGTTTCTCCTATTTTGTTGAGTTTTTCATTAATCAGGCTTTGAGTTGTTTTGATATCTTCTGTTTCGGTTAGTTGTTCTGTTGTGGAGATTGTGAAGTCAGAGGTGGATTCAGTGTCTTCTTCCATTTAATGCATGTATCTGTGTACTGTGTCTTCCTTTAATGAGTTAATTCTTTTCTCTAGTTGATTTATCTGATGTTGTACTTCTGTTATTGTTTTTTGTATGTGGTAGATGAGGGCAAGGAGCTTGTCATTTGAGAAGTGGTGTATGTTGGTTTCTTGAGTTATCTCAGCGTAACTTCTGTTGGATCTGTCGTGCCTATACTGGTTTTTGTTATTGTAATGTGTTTCCTCTTAATATGTGGAGAATCTGTTTCTGGGCTGTGTTTTATGTCTTGTGCGAGAGTTGTTTGTAGGTTTAACAATACAGTTTGTGATTATATGTTGGGTGTCCCCGCAGTAGTGGCAGAATTTTGCTGTTCTAGCTTCCCATGTGAGCTTGTGTTCTTTGAAATTGATGTCATTTGCTGTTGCTTTGGTAAGGTCTTTATGGGAAATGAAATTTAAATTTGCAAACCTTCTAAATGTTTCATTTGCTTGTGGTGTGTGACATGCCTTGGTGCCAACTTGTTGCATAATATTACTGAGGTCTTGAGCTGTCATCGAGTCTAAAAACTTGATTAGTATAATGCTGAATTTGTCTCTTTCTAATCTTGTTTCTCTTATACGGTAATATGAAAACATTCTCATTATCATGCCCTCTATTATTACTGACCAATCGTTTATGGCTATGTTGTAGTCTGATTAGTGAGTAAAGGTTACTACTGCTGACTTGTGTGGTTCTGTTGTCTGCATTTGGATATACTCAATAGAATCGAATTTAATGGATCCTGTCATGATATCTTTCTTGGAAAAATGTTGGAAAATATTTTAGATTCTGACTGATCTGCGATTAGTTTCATAGGTGTTGAGTGTCAGTGCTAATCTTGGTTTAGAGTTTTTAAACTCCGAGATTGGGTGTGGCATGCTTCCTCGGCATCTGTGTAGTTACTGAAAATAACCATAATGTTTGTTATTCCTGTTGGCTCTTCCACTTTGATGTGTTTGAGGGAGAGCATACTTGCCATTTTCTCACATATAAATCAGATTTTTTCCTGATTATCTTTCCTGGATACTTGGTCAAGTATAAAGAAGACTTTGCCACTGCAAAGTGTGTTTACATTTTTATTGTTGCTGTTGATGTTGTTAGTGCTGTTATTGTTGCTCTGAAATAATGTATTTGGTTCTTTTTCTTTTCCTTTCTCAGCATAGATGAAAGTTTTATTTTCCTCTTTTTTTTTTTCTTTTCCATTTCATTTGTATGTTCTGGGTTTGTTGTCAGTCTTGTTTCTGGATATACCTGGCTATTGGTTTGACTATTTTCAGTATCTGAGAGATTAACTTCTATGCTAATGTTAGTCATATCTGCTTCTAGCACACTCATAAACTTCTGGTGTTTGGGGTTTGTAAGATTCATTTCCTGTGTTACATCTGCTTTTCTGCTGTTGATTGGTATTGGTCTCTTGAATAGTATGATTTTCTTGACAATTGTTGTTTTCTTAATGATTTTTCTATTGTTCCTTGCCACTAAGTTATCATTATATTAGGGTGTTATGTCTCTAAAAGAGCTGTACAAAGTGCGCTGGTTTAACATGTTGCTTGAATTTCCTAATTTAGTAATTTAATAAAGTGGAAAAGAGTATCATTTTAAAGATCCATCACAGTAAATCTACTTTTATTACTTCATAGTCTTTCATTTTTTAACAGTCCAATTTTTTTAATATATTATTTTAGACAATTTTTTTTTTATTGATCATTTAAAAGTAGTTTTTGAGCTAGTATATGAGAGAAATATTTATTTCATACAAATTTCTTTTAATAGAAATTTCAATATTAGTTTTTTTAATAAATTTGTTTTTAATTTGTTTTGCAGATTTCTTATTATTTTTAACAATTTTTTTTAAAATGATTTGTCTTTAGAAGTTAATAATTTTAAACATCCAGTTTTAGGAAGAGTGGCAAGATTGTTTTTTTAAGATAATTTTTAATTGTATAAAAACCAGTTGTTCTATAGATTTTTGAAATTTTTGATAAGAATTATTTATTTTTATAGAGATCTATAATTTCACCATGTTAATTTTTAGTTAAATAATATATTTTTGAAATTAAAAATACTGGAAATATAAATATATTTATATTTAATTTAATGTTTACCTATTGAAAAAACATGAAAATTATATATATATTTTTTTCCCATAGTCAAACAAGCACGTATTGTTTATTAAATCTTTTCAGAAAACAAATAATGTATAATACATTGTATTGCATAAACTATTCTACTGCCTTG